AGTGCCCCCCAAACCAGAGCCGAGCAAGATACCTGCCTGCCCACTTGGCGGGACTCTTCCTCCTGTCTGAGGTTTTCATTGTTGTGAGCATTTCTGTTGAGGATTGGCTGTGGGGGTGGGGTGGGGGTGTGTTTGGTTTTTATTCCCCCCTGTCTGCTGGGTGGTTGCAGCAGGTTTTGGTCACTTCACATGACCCTGGGACACTGTGACAGTCATAAATATGAATCGGTTGCCAAGCATCTTAATGTAAATCATAAGACCCTGGAGATGCTGCAACATTCCAGCTGATCGATGCTTCTTCTGGGCTCAGAAGAAGCGACAGGATCAGTGCTGCTTTCCAGCTGATTGGTGCTTCTTCAGGGCTCAGCAGAAGCACCAGGATCAGCGCTGAGCTCCAGCTGGAGCCTGGCACTGATCCTGGGACTTCCACTGAGCCCTGACAGCCCTGCAGCTCCAGCCATCTCTCGGTGCTGCCATCAGTGGTGCTGCCACTGGTTCAGCTCATTTCCCTCCCCTGCTACCACTTTTTTAGGATGGTCGCGTACCACCTGCCAGGTGCCAATGTACCACAGGTGGTACCCGTACCTCTGGTTGAAAAGCCCTGAACTAGGGAATTATGGGAGTTGAAGTCCACACGGTTTACAGCTGCTAAGGTTGAGAAACTGTTCTATGTTATTTTCAAGTTTTACTATATCATAGAGTTTTTCATTGACTCCTTTTCCAAGTCTATTGCCAGTGTTTATGTTTACAGCTCTCCACAGTATCACTCTCCCCTTATTTCTGTGAACAAGCTGTTCTTGATCCTTGGCTCCAGGATCATGATGTCAAGTTCCAAGCCTTTAGAGACTTGGCCTCACTGCTCTAGAATCAGCTCTCTTCATCCCTGAGAAAATGTGGTGGCCTTTAAAAAAGTTTCAGGGATGTTTTTATTTGATTAATGGGCTAGTGAAGAGTCAGATTGCTATATCCCATTCTTGTTTATCTGACACTTCTAGGTAAAACTTGTTTTAAATTATGATCAATGAATATATACTGCTTACAAAAATAAAGGGAACGCAAACCCCTTCAGTTCCATGGTAAAATGTTCCCTTTATTTTTGTGAGCAGTATATATTAAGTCCTATTCCAGGATGTTGCTTTAAATCTATAGTTATTGTACAGGTTGTTTTAGCATTAGCTCATTTGTGCTGTTTGTATATTGTAGTTTTGTAATGTTCTGAAGGTTGCACAAATTAGTATCATTTGGTTTGGTGATGTCAGATGGGGGTAAGGTGAGGATTAAGCATATTAGTTTTTAAAATATACACCTGTTCTGATAATGAGAGTTAAAACAATGGCAGTGTAGGATTTGTAAGTGTTTAGGTGTTCTTTTTTTTGTTTGCAGTCCTATTACTTACTTTATGAAGTGAATTCTCACATACATTCACACAATTTAAATTATACAAACAGAGTAAATGCTCAAGCAACCCCTTTCTCTTTTATGTTAGGGAAGGATGATTTGACTTGAAGGCAAGAATCACACCTTCAAATTGAACCTTTGAATCAATGCATGGTGTCTAATTGAATAAGGTACCTTCAAACTGGCTCAGAGAGATTAGAAGACTGGAGAGATACTTGGGGAGTTTTAAAGATGGCTTCCTCATATAACTAATGTGAGGAGCAGATGAGTTGCATGAAAGGGTTTGTCAGACTGACATGAGTTTTGTTACCTATGAAAACACTGCCTGTTCTTTTTTTTTTTTTGCCTGTGCCCTAGTAGAATAGGTTTAGACAGGTTCATTTGGAAGGAAGGAAAAAAATGAGTGGGATAGAGTCCCTCAGATGAATTCTGTCTACTATTTCTTATCTTTTATTGTTTTGAAGTCCATGCCTTCTTATCATATGCTCTCCTTTTGTTTCTTTCTGTTGCTTATTTGTTTTGAGTGAGTCTTAATTATGAATTGGTCTATTTACAAGGAAGCTCAAATACCTTGGCCACCAAATTAGAAGAGAGGACTCATTGGAAAAAAACCTAATGTTGGGAAAGATTGAAGGCAAACGGAGAAGGGGGTGTAGAGAATGAGATTGTTAGACAGTGTCATCAACACAATGAACATGAATTTGGGCAAATTGTGGGAGACAATGGAAGACAGGGGTGGTGGTGTGCTATGGTCCATGGCAGGGGTAGGCAACCTTGGCTCTTTTATGACTTGTGGACTTCAACTCCCAGAATTCCTGAGCCAGTAAAGCTGGCTGAGGAATTCTGGGAGTTGAAGTCCACAAGTCATAAAAGAGCCAAGGTTGCCTACCCCTGGTCCATGGGGTCGCAGAGTCAAAAAGGACTTAGCGATTGAACAATAACAACATCAGCTAATTATGTGAGGATGCTTTTTGATAGACTAGTTTGCATAATGTAAATTGCTTCTTTATATCATTGTGTTACACAAAGCAGACTTCTTTTTTAAAAAATACAGAAAAAGACAATGATCTATGGCAACAAACTTACCAGTTCAAAAAAGCAAGGAAGCAGCACATTCTGAGAACCTATCTTTTAAAGAACTTTTGAAAATGTTTATTTTTCAATGGGTGTCAGATACTTTTTGCATTAGTAAGCACATTTTCTATTTAGCCAAGTGGGAGGTTGCTGTGTTAGCTTTCTTCACATCTACAGTTTCTGTTTTAGAAGAAGTGCAGGGGAAATGTTTCAGAATGAATTGTATAGAACCTTTGATGGTATCCAGTTAAGTATTTGCTGGGCTAATCTCTTTTTTATTTTATTCTGCTCCTAATATTGTAATTTTCGTTGCTACTTTCATCCATTCTTGAAAAAAAGAAAAGAAAACAAATGTAGCTACAAGCATATTGATCTTTTTCCATTAAAGCCCATGATAAAATCTTTTATCAGCTTAATTTGAATGTAATCTTTCTGCTCTGAATTCAGATGTTTGAATCAATTTATATTATGCTTCAGTCTCAAATTCAAATTAGTACTTGGTTGATTTACATGACTGTAATAATGTAGAAAAGTGTGTGTTTGTGTATGTATGCATATATATATATATATTGTCTCTAATTATACTAAAAATGCTAATCCCGGGTATAATGTTGAGAAAAATAGAACACCGGGATAAATATAAAAACAACTGTTGAATAAACTAACAACTGTTTGATAAACTTAGCTTTCGTTGGCTAACTGCCGATATCGTCAGAGTGGAATGCCGGAGGTTCGAAAGCCTGCTTATAAGACCGGCAGTTTGTGCGCTCTGCTCATAGAACGCATTACCGGTCTACCCGCCCCAGTTGACCATATTGCTTCTAATAGTCTTGCATCCGTCTGTATACTCGTAAGCTCAGCGATCATTGCCTCTCTTGTTGTCGCTCTCTTTGCCTGCTTTGGACGTTGCTATAAGATGGTCACCCAGTGCCTCCTGTCCTGTAGCCACCCCCCTGTTGTGAGTGTGGCACCCCACCTCCCATCATTGGCTCCTGTACGAATCATGCTGGGGATTTCTCCCCTTTGCAAGTTGTGGTTCTTTGCTGTTGCATGAGATGGTAACTCTATGTGGTGATTAATTGAGTGCTTATTCAACAGCCAAGCCTCCTTCAACAATCACACGTTCAACCTTGCCGGGGTGGAGGCCATTGCCCAGGATGTCACCAAGGGCGGCCGGTTACTGAAGGAGGCTTGGCTGTCGGATGAGCACTCAATTAATCGCCACATAGAGTTACTGCCTACTTATCAGGCACTAAGGAAGTGGGAACAACAGTGTAACAATCACAACGAGTACAACGGGTGCAGCCTTCGCAAGACCAGAACCGCTGTCTCATGTGGTGGCGCCCTGTTTTTGTACCCCACAGCATGGTGGTGGCCCATTTCCGCACTCCGCAGTGCGATGGCATCCATTTTTACGCCTTGCAGCATGGCAGCAGCCCATTTTTGTGCCCCACGATGTGGCAGCAGCCCATTTTTGCCCCCCAAGATGCAGTGGTGACCCATTTTCATGCCCTAAGGTGCAGCAGCAGCCCGTTTTTGTGCCCTGCGGCCGTGGTGCTAGCACAAGTGACGGGTGTGCATACACACGTGCACGCACTGGCCAGCCTGTCCTGTGGTCCGGTGGCCAGCAGGCCACACCCATTACCAGGCCTTGGCCCACAGGTTGGGGACCCCTGCCTTTAAAGAAAGATCCTCCTGTTAACAGATACCTGGAATTAGAGGCCTGTACATAAAGCAGAACTTTATCCTAAATGGTTATAAATAGTGGATATTTTTGCAACCAGCAGCCTATAAAAGTCAAGTTTAGATAACTTATTTCAATTACTCATTTTAAAAAAGTGACCCATTTGGCAGATAATGCTAAACCTACTTACTTGGCAGTCAGCCTTGCTGAAATTGGTGGAATTTTTTCCCTGCCCAGGGAGGAATTTAAAGACTTACTGTTTATATGGTAGACTCTCTTTTTGGATACTCCATACATCCATATATAACTTTGTTTTTCTGGTAGTGGCTGACACAAGTCTATGTCTATGTCTATGGAAGTTGCTTCTGTTTAACTGCAAATAGTTCTGAAGTTTCTTCTTTAGTATATGGGGCTAATCTAATCCATATATTAGGACCCATTGCTCAGCATTCTGCTTAGTTATTTCTGAATGATGGCCCATTTTTCACATTCTATTTAATTTTTTCTTACGAGCATTTTTAACACAAATGTACTTGATCCTACAGAATGTCACTGCCATGAGCAATTCTGTTAATGAATCGAATTCAATATTTGTTCCAGATCGGCTTTTACTTCAGGTCACTAAGTAGCTAGTTTGTCATTGTGAGTGGTAAAATGTTTCAAAATAATAGTGTTTGTAATGAATTTACTATTGCAGTCAAAATAAATGAGAGCAATTAACGCTGACTGCTACTGAAAGCAAAGTGATGACATCATATTTACTTAAGCAATATTGTTTCTATTAAAGTGTATAATTTATATACTCTTAGGACTAAATAGTAATGTCTGGTTTGTTTGTTTTTAGCAAAATGCATGTATGGAGATAAAGTGTTGGCAGAAGGGCAGAAGATTTTAATCAAGAACTGCAGAGAATGTCATGTAAGTTTTTTTTTTAATTATTTGGCTGCAATCCTATGCATTACGCTTCCCCATTAAAGTTTCTTCAGAATAAACATGCATATCATTGTGCAATAAATACTTACAAGTTTTCAGCAATGTGCAAACTTTGTAAGTAACAATAGCATATGAAAATATTCACACATATATTTATAAGTCTTTGGGTGGAAAAAGTACACAGGCCCATCATACAGTATGTGTTTTTATCATTTAGGAAGTTGTTTTTATCCCTCCCTACATCAGGAGCTCTGACAACAGATTTATTTTTTACCCTGTTGTTATACATATCAGTATGTTCATAAACACTCATTCACACATTCCACATCTCTTTCCCTTCCTTGTAAAGGTTTTTGATTCTTATATGCTGATTTCTGAAAAAACTACTCATCAGTTTATTTTGCCAGGCTTTAATATGGCAAAATTGAATAGGTTTCTAAAAATGTGTTGATGGACTGATTTCAAAATGATAAGTCGAGACAGACCTGGTTTGTACATGAACAGGAGACACCAGGAAATAATAGAACTACAGGCTAGACTGGGAAGTCAGGAGAAAAAAAGAACATGAAAGAAATTAGCAGCAAGCTGTTTTGGAATGATTACTGAAAAAAAAATACATGGAAATCCCTGAACTCACCAGGAACTGAGCTGGACATGAAGGAGAATTTATTATTAAGTAAACTTGAGTTCTTCAACAAAATTAGTAAGACTAGGTGATTCTTGGAAAAATTTGCCCGCAAATTTGATGAGACAATGTGAAACTCTCAATATGGGATTCTGTTAGGGTTAGGACTGAAGTTTGGGTTAGATTGGAGCATATTCTGTGAAACAGAATTTCCTTTAGAAAAAGAAGTTCTATGGCAGGTGTGCAGGAAGGCCTCAATTTTAAAAAATAGCAGGAAAGGTAGTTTGTAAACTACCACCTTCTGCTATTCTTTGGCTTCACTATCTTATTATACAGAAAGCAGGCTATCTCTTTTAACTTCCATTTATAAAAGTATCTATCATAGTCTTTTTAAAGATTGCAATCTAAAAATAACGGGAGAAAAAAGATTTTAACTTGTGAAAGTAGTGGGGAAAACTTTTCATTAGTTGAAAAAAAAGGGAACAAAGCTGCTTAAAATTCATTAAAGCTACCTCCAGTCTCAGAACAGCCAATTTCACTCGGCTATAAAAATTACAGTAACTTAAAAAGTAGAGAAAGCTATATTTATCCTCTCTGCTTGATCTCCTTGGATTTGTAATAATGGACGCTGCCTTTATCACATATTAGCTCTGAGTAGGTAAGCAATGGAAATGAGCATCCATTTTAATTAAATGACAATTAATGCAGCAATTAACCTAAAAATAAGAAAAGAATAAAAAGTCAATTAGGACATTACACAGGAAATGATAGGGAAATAAATGTATTTAGAAACTTTAAATTGAAGAAAAGGTTATGAACCGAATGTGGTTGTGAAAAAAGTGGTGTGGAGCTGAAAAATCAAAGATGTTTAATAAGCAAACAGATTTTAGGTGAAAGTAAAGTGAAAAACAACAGAAATAAACAAAAGAAGATTGCTAAGTAGGACCGGGAAAGTACCTGAGGATTGGAAAAGGGCTGATGTGGTTCCCATCTTCAAGAAAGGGGAAAAAAAACGCACCCAAGAAACTACAGACCAATCAGTCTAACATCAATACCTGGGAAGATCCTAGAAAAGATAATAAAAAAATATCATTCTTCGACAAAGTGACTAAACTAATAGACCAGCGAAATACTGTGGACATAGTATACTTAGACTTCAGTAAAGCATTTGATAAAGTTGACCACAACCTACTCCTTGGTAAGCTAGAAAAAAGGTGGAATAGACAACATCACCACCAGATGGATCTGTAGCTGGTTGGCAAACCATACTCAACGAGTAGTCCTCAACGGCACTATATCCACATGCAGAGAAGTAAGCAGTGGGGTACCACAAGGTTCCATCTTAGCCCCAGTACTCTTCAATATCTTCATCAATGACTTAGATGAGGGAATTAAAGGGGAACTCATCAGATTTGCAGATGACACCAAACTGGCAAGAGCAGCCAACACCCCAGAAGACAAACTCAGGATCCAAAAAGATCTTGACAAACTTGAACAATGCGCCCTGTCCAACAAAATGAGTTTCGATTTGGAGAAAAGTGAAGTTTTACATTTAGGTAGGAAAAATCAAAGGTACAAATACAGATTGGGCAAGACCTGATTTAAAAACAGTAACTGTGAGAGGGACCTTGGAGTCCTAGTGGGTGATCACTTAACCATGAACCAGCAGTGCGTAGCAGCAGCCAAAAAAGCTAATGTAATCCTGGTTTGTATAAACAGGCATAGAATCAAAATCATGCGAGGTATTAGTACCACTTTATAAAACCCTAGTAAGACCACACCTGGAATACTGCAGCCAATTTTGGTCACCATATCACAAAAAAGATGTTGAGAGTTTAGAAAAAATTCAGAGAAGAACAACTAAGATGATCAAAGACCTGGCTAGTCTAAAGCAAAGAAGAAATAGGGGAGACATGATAGTAGTATTCCAGTATTTGAGGGCTGCCACAAAGAAGAGAGGATCATGAAACAATGGTTGGAAACTGTTCAAAGAGAGAAGCAACCTGGAATTAAGGAGAAACTTCCTGAAGTGAGGACAATTAACCAGTGGAATAGCTTGCCCCCAGAAATCATGAGTGCTCCATCACTGGAGATTTTTAAAAAGAGGCTAGACAGTCACTTGTCTGAGATGGTATACTCTGTTTCCCCAAAAGTAAACCCACCCCCGAAAGTAAGCCGCAACTGATTTTTTGGGGGGTGGACCTAATATAAGCCCTCCCCCCAAAAGTAAGCCTACTTAAGGTCTGCACGGACAGCCTGCCTGTGATGAGGTGAAGCTGATGTAGGAGGGTGGATCTGACCCACGGTACCGGTATACCAGTTCCTTACTGCTGCTCGGCTTGTTCCGAGGCATCATGGCAGTGGCATTGGGTGCAACATGTGAGGCGGCAAAGAGCTGGTTTTGGCGCAACATGGCTATTTGCCGCTGGCCACGGCCATTTGCCACTTTGCGCATCGTGTCCAATGCCATTGCCATGAGGCCTGGCGGATCCTCCCTCCTTCTGACCTATGTACTGTTATACCAGTTCCCTACCATTGTCCAGCTTGTTCCGCGGCCTCATGGCAGCAGCATTGGGCAGAAGGTGGCAAATGGCTGGTTTTGGAACGACATGGCCATTTGCTGCCTTGCGCATCATGCCCAATCCACTGTCAGGCCTACCATATGTTAAGTCTAACCCCCACTGTCCCCCAACCCTAATGGGAGATGGGAAGCCCTGGGGAAAAAAACAGAAAAATGTGGGTGAAAAAACCCACAGTTTTCTCGTTTGTTTCCAAACTGCTTTGGAAATAAATGGGAAAAACCATTTTTTTCCCACCTAAGCTTTTCTGTTTTTTCCCCCCAGGGTTTCCCATCTCCCATTAGTGTTGGAGGGCAGTGGGGGTTAGAGTTAACATATGGTAGGCCTGGGTACGGCCTTGCATGGGTCAGATGGGGGGAATCTGCCAGGCCTCATGGCCGTGCCCTTGGCAAGCACAATGTAGCTCGGCCAAAAGTGGCTGTGGAACAAGTGAGGCAGGTTCCCCCCTCACCTGCCCAGTCTTTTCTATGTCAGACAACTTCGCAGCTCTGCCTACGGAGCCACCAAAGCGGCAGGTGGAGTGCTGGAGGCTCGGGAAGGGAGGGTGGTGAATTCCCCCCAGGAATTGCATTTCTTTCCTTACCTGACTCCCAGACCCGTGCCGTTTATCCTTTGTGATCCACCGCTGCCGCATGCAGGGAAACAAAAGGGTTTTGGGGAAAAACAAAGGTCAATCAATCAATTTCAACTTCTTGTGAAAAAAAAAAGTTCTCATGAAGTTGGAATTGATTGATTGACCTTTCTCCCCCCCCCCAAAAAAAAACTTATTTTATTTATCTGCACACAGTGGCGGCGGATCACGAAGGAGAAATGGCATGAGGCTGGGAGTCAGGTAAGCAAAGAAAAGCAATTCCTGGGAGAGAAAGGATTTCTTTCCTTACCTGCCCCACTTGTTCCAAGGCCGCTTTTGGCTGAGCTGCATTGCACTCACCAATGGCCCGCCCACCCTCCCCGAACCTCTGGAACTCCACCTGCTGCTTTGGTCAGTCTTGCGGGCCCCATCTCGGCACCCTACCCACCGCCACCCAGCATGGCCACACTGCACAGGGTAAGGTTGTCCCTGCCCCTGCCAAAATGCCCTTGCCTCCCCCAAGCGTTTTTTTTACTAACCTACCTTTCAGCTGCATTGTGTTTCTCCGTTTGCTTCTCAGTCTTCGCCGTGTGTTTGTGAGACTACTGGTAAAAAAAAGTTCAATCAGACTTTCTAACTTCTTAAGATCTCGTGATCTCAATGCGACTTGTTCATGTGACTACCTGGGCAACTGCTGTGTGATAGTACTTGCACAAGGCACTCAGTATTCCAGATACGTCTACCAGCCCTAAAGGGTTATCTATTTCTGCACTAACAATGCAGACAGAAGTCAATGCCATTTGTAATGACTGTAATAGAATTAATCCATACTATTCTGGATTAGAGCAAATGGTTTTATTGATTTCTAAGTGGAAATGAATAAAGCACCGGAGTGTATTATTTATTTCATTTCATTCTATCTTTATAGGAGCCCCTCAAAGATTGGAACACTGCTATCATGTCTCCTCTAATCCTTTTTTTTTTGCTCATTCTTTCTCAACATCTTTTTAAAAATGTAGTAACCAGAATTGGATGCAGTATTCCAAATATGGAACTGTGTGGAACCAGAACTATTCCAAATATACGATCCATATATCTCCATTAGAATAGATTTTGGTTAGTCTTATCCTTAATTTTTAGTCTATTTCCCTTGAAGTTAGAATATTCTTCATGTCTAAAAAAAATCGGTTTGGTAATTTCTTTTTATTTC